CCCAAGTAGCTGGGACTACAGGCGCCCACCACAACGCCCGGCCATTTTTTGGTTGCAGCCATCATTGTTGTTTGGCGGGCCCGGGCTGGGGATTCGAACCGCCACCTTAGGTGTATGTGGCTGGCGCCTTAGCCGCTTGAGCCACAGGCGCCGAGCCCACACACATATTTTTTGAAGACAGAGTCTCATTCTCTGCCCTGGGTTGAATGCTGTGGCATCATACCTCAGAGCATCCTCAATCTCTTAGACTCAAGCAATCCTCTTGCCTCAGGCTCCAAGTAGCTGGGACTACAGGCACCCACCAAAAGATCCAGCCAGTTTTTCTGTTTTTTAGTAGCGATGGGGTCTCACTGTTGCTTAGGCTGGTCTAGAACTCCTGAGCTCAAGTAATCCCCTCACGTCGGCCTCCCAGAGTGCTAGGGTTATAGGCATAAATCACTGCGCCTGGCCTATGATTTGGGATATATTAACAATATACTGATAAAAGCAAGTTCCAGTATATTGAGTATAATTCCAATCTTGTAAAAAGATGTATGTACATTTGTATATGCCCTTGAAAAAAGCTCATAAGAATATGCGTATATACAGTACATCAGTGCTTTTTTCTTGAGCTGTGTGATTATGGGTGATTTTAATTACATTAGTTGTACTTGTCTGTATTTTCTTTGTTTTATACTATGAATGTGAATATGTTGTAATGAGGAAAAAATATGTTAAAAGTGGTTTCTTTGAAAAGGGCATAAGGAAATGATTCTATAAAGCAATATTGTTAAATAGAAATGTAATATGTACAAGCCACATACACAATTTGAAATTTACTAGTAGCCTCCCCCTTTTTTTTAGATGGAGTCTCACTTTGTCACCCTTGGCAGAATGCCATGGTATCATAGCTCACAGCAACCTCAGATTCTTGGGCTCAAGCAATTCTCTTGCCTCAGCCTCCTGAGTAGCTGAGACTACAGGTGGCTGCCACAACACCCAACTATTTTTAGAGACAGGTCTCACTCTGGCTCAGGCTGGTCTTGAACCTGTGACTCAGGCAGTCCACTGGCCTCGGCTTCCCAGAGTGCTAGGGTTACAGGCATGAGCCACCGTGCCTGGCCTTGGTAGCCACATTTTAAAAATTTTCTTTTAAAGGTAAAATTAATTTTAATGTTTCAAACCCCAATATAACC